TGGGGAATAATTTTGCGGTTACAACAACAACAGACTAACTTACCATTACCGTGAGATAAAATTATTATTATTAAAGCTTTTCAACATTTAAAGCTGCGTCTCCCGATGGGATTATCTCTGTGATACTACAACCAACTAACCATACAACCAATAGTTCAGTAGCAATAAAGGATATACAGCTCAACAAGCTTATATAAAGGGTCTATCAACAGAAACTGTTACATATATACAATACATTGTGATTGATAGGAGTTTAACAGTAGGACAACTTCATCACAAAGAGTACACAATGGCCACCTTCCTATTTATACATAAAAAAGCCTTTAATATCATGACATAGATGACATAGATCGCTGATAAATCACGTGCTTGACAATTAAAAGTAGATCGTATATAACTACAGGCGGCTCAGAGATGCAAAAAGATCTGCATTAGCGGGGTATCCAAAAAGAAAATATTTTGTTCCGCTTTCATGATGGCGGCGCAAAGTGAAATATTGCAAGGAAATTATCTCAAAACAAGTGAAATATATTTATTCTGATTTCAAATTATGCAATCTTCTCGTTGTAAAAATCTATCAGAAAATTTTCCCCAAAAAAATGTCCTTCTCTCAAGGTGACCATAATATTAAATTAATAACTACAGCTCACAAAATGTTAAAGAAATCAAAACGCAATTAATAAAAAAAATTATTAAAGAGTTATTGATATGCTAATTCACTAACTGTTATGGATTTTATGATAATATGAGACATAGAAGTAAATAGAATCTTTCCAACCGTTTTGCTATAAGGAGAAAAGAAGATCATATAATTTTCTGGAGAAGTTTTGAATGTATTCATAATGAAAAATTGTCTCCTTGAAGTTCGTTTTATGGCAGTATTTGTGGGCACAGTAGTGACTTAATCGTTAAGTGACCACTCTACTTCAAAATGGAGGATTTTTACTTTCAAAGTAACTTACAGGTTTACACTCTTCACCACCCTCAATACTTAGAAATCTTCTTATGAAGTGCCTGATGTTCTGCATAAAAGTATCAGATAGCATAGGAGCAGGTTCATAATAATATATCTCTCTAGGAACCTTTTACTGCGCCAGACTCTTTACCAAGAACTTTCTCGTTAACAAGTATATGCCACTATCAATGGCGATTCCAAGGAATCTGCGCCAAAGAGATTTAGATACTCTAAACTTCGAGTAAAGCCACAAGTTCCATTCGGAAGATACTACAGCTTTCCGTCAGGGCAACTGAGTTCTACCGTCCATCCATACGTGTTTATCTGCACCAACTAGTATGCCCTTCTTGCCGATATTAATCTGGATCGAAATATTTTAGTGGTTCTGCATCAGTCTGTGCTATGCGATGGTGTGGGGCAGATTTAATATCCAATGTGTTAGTTTTGTTCTTGTTACTTCACAAGTGCATTCCTTATTAACAATAACAATAATTAAATCTAAAAGTATACGCATGTCTTCCCCTTATGCACGAGCTACATCCTTTCGCATATTTGGCCATTTTAACAAGTGGTTGATTTATTATGAAGTGTCGCCAATCAAGTATCTGCCGCACAACTGAAGTGTATGCCCTGCCTGCCTTGCAGATGCTCTTTTACATACTTACAAGTGTGGTTGCCAAATACTGATTAAGCTTATACTCAGAATTAATTAAACGATTATCTTTCTAATTACAGTATGCCCTCGGCAGGGAATGCCAATTAATCCGAGTATACCTCTGACAAGTAGTAAACGCTGCCTATAGGAATGCATCATACGAAGGCAGAGTAAGCTGTAGATCCCTCCATTTCTTGGAAAATCATCTAAAATAAATTAGAAGAGAACTTCGATAGAGAATCGCTGCAGCGCTTTATTCATTATCTTATTTTAGTCCGCCCTATGTGACATCACGCAAATTTCGTTAATATTAGCCATACACAACAGTGGCGAAGATTTCGAAAATAGCATACACGACATGAAAGCGCCAAATTTTTCCTTACACCAGTTTCAAAACAAATATATAATTAAGAATATAATAAGGCTAATGAGCTCATTATTAACTTAATATTGCCATGTGTAAAGGACTCATTTGCGCCTTCACATGAATAACAGTTGCAACATGGCAATAGCAAATGAATATAATTTCTGGAATTCTGCTAATTGAGATATACAAAACCTGCAAGCCTTCATAAATACACACACATATTTCAACTAATAAGTTTTTATACACAAACAACAGTAAATGATATATTTATAATTAAACGAGTAAATATAGTAGAAAGGAACTCAGCTAGAAAAAAAGCAAGTAGGCAGCACCAGATTCTGGTGGAACCAAAGATTAATTATTGATATCTATTGAGGGGTTTCATAGGTCTTGAAGGCAAAATGTAACTAAAAAATTAATTAAATAAAAAGAAAATTATTTTAAATGCATTTTATTGTCGTAATGGCATGATTATTCCACTGTTTTCAGAGGCGAATGGCAAGATACATTAAGGAGTTACATCGGTCTTGAGACTTCAAAAAATTCATTTTTTTTTTTTTTTGATAATTTTTTGTGAGTAAGTAAAATTTGTCAGGACGATTTTCCCCAAGTTTCAAGCCGATCGAGACGGAACTGTAGAAATTAGAGAGTTTAATAACCCGCCGTCCTTGTCATGGTTCGACCGATAGCGAAACTTTAAGCCCGTTTTTCTTAAAACCACTTTATCAAAATCGGTAGTCAAAATTTCTCAATGACTATTGAAGCGATGGAGTCCAAATTTTTCACACTTCCCTTAAGCAGGTTTTTGTAGACCCTGAACGAAGGTTTTATTTTCTCTTTCTTTCTTTCATTTTACAAACCAATTTGTGGCCTCATTTTATGCAAAAAATAACGCTACAAAAAATTCAATTTTTTAATATTCTTCGTTTCGTTTCATTTTTTTCAGGGAAAAGGAAAATTCATATACTTTAAGAAAAAACTTTGATTTATGATTTTAGATAAAAATTGAAAAAGTTATCATGACTACCGCGAAAGCGGTTTCTGGTGGACGGTCTACTTCACGACACTGCCAACGCGCTACCTTATACTATTTTTCACTCAAATTTACATCAAATGTTGTCCACATATTGTACTTTTATGTGTAAACAAAATAAATTTTCCATTTCAAGTAAAAGTATCCCTTAAATTGTGAGCAAATAAGCTTTTTTTGGCCTTAAAGACCCATGTAACCCCTTCAGCAGGCTGAATAAATATATACAAACTCCAAAAAAAAAAAAAAAAAAAAAAGCTTATTCGCTACTTCAATACACTTAGTAGTAAACTGCTGCTTTTCCAACAGAAAAAAAACAATTCTCGACTATTTCCCATAACTAGCATAAAATCATACTTTATGTACGCTTCAATTCAATCAACTAGCACACGACGGCAACACATGCACACACACATACACGCATAATGCCACATGCATACTCGCTACGGCAGGCTAATTATATGTCAGTAGTGTTAATTGAAATGAAAAGTTTCGTTGCTGCACGAGCAAGTGGCAAGCAATAAATATGCCGGCGTTAGAGCGAATTTGTAGACTTCGAAAAAGTGCGTTCGCTTGCGTGTGTTATTACGATAAGCGGAGACTTCGACTTAAGAGCGCGCACAAAATTATTAAAGAGTAATTTTTTGTACATTTCGAATTAATTTTGAAAACACTTCGAATTCATTTCGAAAACACTGTACGCTCTTCTTTCCAGTTGAGTGTTTAACGGTGTCAATGCGTTTGCGCCGGAGCAAAAAAAATCTCTACACAACAAAACAGCTGAGCATCAAGAGACTATGTGCGTATGTGCTTTGCTGTCATTCTACTCTAAAAGCACAACAACTTTTTCAACAATAGCTACTCGTCGCGTGTCATGTAGTAACATAGTAGTGGCATCAACAACGTTATGAACAATGACAAAAGCAAGAAAGCAACAAAGCAACAACCAACAGCAACAGTGACAGCAACGGCAGAGGCAGCGGCAGCGGCAGTGGCTAAACCAAAACACAGCACAGCCGCACAATTGAATTGAGTAGTCGTCGAGCAGACGGGATTGACGTTCAGCGCGAGTTGAGGTGAATTGGTAAAAATTGTTGTGAATAATTTGCCGCAAGCGAAAATTACACCGCCGCCTGTATGGACACACGGACGCGCTGCACGGTCGCGCTAACAATATATATATATAAATGTTTACTTACATACATATATGTATATATGAGTGTTTTGTATATTAAATTAAATGAATTTTCTATAATTTTCGGTGGCATAATCAGTTCAATTTCACGCTTACTTCGTACGCTAACGGTGTTCTCATAGTCTTATTTGCGCGCTCAAAAGCAAAAACAAAAAAATAAATGAAAATGAAACAGAAATTGTGTATGTGTTAGAAGTGAACAAACAAAATATATCTACAAACAAACATACATACACATACATACCCATACATAAGTGTGCAGTGATTGGTTTCATGCTTTTTTTTCGTGCGGTTTTAAGTGTTTTTAATCTAATCACAAATGCAAATTGTAGTGAAGTACCGTCAAATTGTATTGGTGTTGCGTGCAAGCATATTGAATACATACACGTATGTGCGCGTGTATGCATGCTAGAAAATCGAAGTGTCTTTCAACTAACAATCTAACGCTTACGCTAGGATAGTAAATAGCACTGCGGCCGGTAGTTACAAAAGTAGCTGAGGAATTGAATAAAATTAGGAAAATGAAAATTGTTTAAAAATATTTATATAAATATATATATATATAGATATATATATAATATTTTACAAGAATTTTTTTTTAATAAAAAATATGTTTAGACGTTAAAAATGCAAAAACATAACAAATGGGGGCAACAGTAATTAAGGAAATTAAAAATTAAATATTTAAATCAAAAGTCCGCAAACTACTTTTTAACGCTCAAATAATAAATAAAATAAAAATAAATATAAAATATATTATATATTAAATATAAATCTAACTGAAAATTCCAAAAAAAAAGCTAAACTACCAAAGAGTTTCAAAGCAGTCCGTGACAGTAAAAATGCTATGAAGTGCTTATCACCTCAGCTAAAGAGCGCAAAATTTTTCATGTAAGTTTTTTCAGTGCCAAAAATGCATTTATTTTTTGTAAAAGTTTTAGTTGGAAAATAAATGAAACAAATATTTTTATTTATCACAAGTAGTTAAAAATTGAAGTGAGATACATATACATATACTTATGTATGTAATTTTCTCCTAACGATTATAGTTTTAAGCTAGATTTCAATAACCTTCTTAAAACCTTTTTTTGCAAGCGACTTATTACACAGTGCAACACTTTTCGGGTCATCGATTTCGACTTTCGTATAGAGAAGTTTCTTGTAAACGGCAAACTTTGCATTTCTGCCTCATTTTTTTACATTCTTAATTCAAATATGAATGTGAGAGCATTACCTCGTTGTAAGCTAAAAGTACACCGTTAGCATTTCTTCATATTTCGATATGGCCAAAACTGGTCAACCGTCTGGAACATTATTTTAGTATCTGAATCAAAGCTGTCGGGTCTAAAAAAACTGCAAAACAAGCATAGTGATCGAAAATTCATTTTTGACTTCAAAAATACAAAAACAACTATTGGTTGTTCGTTTTTCGGCCCATATCTTTCATTAAAGTCTCGCCTGAAATTTAGTGTTGCATAGTTTTATATATAAACTATGAGATCGCCTGTGCAAAAAAAAATGTGCTGGTGTGAAAAAAATGATTTATAATCTTAGATTAAATTTTTGTTTAAAATTATACTGGTCATAATATTATGAGGCTGGTTTAAAATGGTTGATCGCTGTAGTAATTAAAATCTTTTTAAATTGTACGACAAGCATATTGACCGTTATATAAGCTTATTTTTACAAATAATACATAATGATAAATCTTAGTTAACGTAGTTGCAGCTTAGCACCGTTAAAACAATTTTCATTTGAGCTACTCATCTAATTCGAAGTCTGCATCTAGATGATTTTCCAAGAAATAGAGGGACCTATACGTCGTGTGACAATAAAGTAATGAGACTGATTGTATTGCTGCCATTGTGATAACCCTGCGACCTTGAATTTTCCTTTACCTTCTCCCTGCTTCTTTCTACTCTCCACTGATGTATTTGCCATCGCTCTAGCTTATTTAGTTTGCCTGCTGTGTCTTGTTGAGTAAACGTGTGTTCGTGGTGCTCGTCATGGAAGGGGAAAAACTAAATCGACAGCAAAGAGCCGCAATAAAGTTTTTTGCCAAATTCGAGTTCGATTCGAGAAAAATCGAGTTATTGTTAAACATAGCATAAGCAGGTCGAAGGGGAAAACGATGATTATTGCCTTTTTCGATAGCATTGGGATCATCCACAAAGAATTTCTTCCACCTAGGCAAACCATAAATCAAGTCTACTATCAAGTCCAAGTACTCGAAAGATTGCGAAAACGAGTCAACAGGGTGCACCCAGATATCACTCGTAACTGGATCCTTCATCACGTCAACGCCAAACCGCCCACAGTGTGTCCCAGTATCAAAAGAACCCATTTTGAGTCGATTGAGCATATCGAGGCGGAAGTGACGAAGGCACTCGCGGTCATCTCAGTCGAAGAGCTCCAGAAGGGAATGGCGGAGTTGTAGAATAATGTTGAAATATAAGGATTTTATGGAATCATACCATACCGCCTTCAAATTATTGATAAATTTCAATGAAGAGCTTTTACGTGCTATCAGAAATGCACTCGGAAGAGTTGGCATTCCCTGACGAGGGCTACATAGTACAAGAGTAGCAAAAGGCCGGCTTGAATACTAAATCTTCTATTTGGAGATTAAACAGCACTCACACACTCGACTTATCAAAGAGATTTCATCTATGCCATAGTACTAAGTCAGAAAAATGCTAAACCAGCTCGTGACAGATAAAATTCAGGGATGCATGAATCCAAGGTAGAATTCGATGCGCCTGCCGGAAAGCTGTAGTACATTTCTAGTTAAGCTTGTGATTGTATATACGTAACCTACCAGCTACCAGATCTCAAATGAAAAATTTTTAGTACGAATATATAGAAATTTTTTTCAGAAGATTACATCGAAGTCTCATATTATCATGAAATACATACTGATGGGTAAACTGGCATTCCAGGAATTTCATACAATCCTTCACATTTGCAGATTTTTAGATTTTTATAAAATTTTTCATAATTTTGTTAGCCGGAGTAATATTTTTAATATGATGAAGTTTTTGTTTGGGAAATTATACTGAGAAATTTTTACAGCGAGAGGATTTCGTTTTTTTAAGAGAAAATAATAAAAATTTTTTGCTTTGCTGTAATTTCTTTGGATAAAGAAAGAAATTCCAATGCAGTCATAAATTGTACATATAATATATTTTTGATATACTCGTACATACTGGATACCTTCAACGCTCCGACGGTCAGACATTTATATACTCTTGGACAGACGGAGTGGTCTGGCTTACCACCATACATTTTCATGCATTTGTATGGGAGATCTGAGTTTTATATGTAGAGTCATTAATGTTTGTGTTTTTTCTTCCTTTTCTCACTGGCTTTTGCATGTGTTGACCCAGCAGCTGATGTGTAAAATATGTGGAATATAAAAAAATGTCGTTATTTTTTTTTTTTTTTTTTTTTTTTTTTTTTTNTTTAGTTGAACTTAATTTGATATAATTTTAATTGTTATTATTTAATTTAGTTTTATTTAATTTGATATAAATTTATTTTATTCAATTTAGTTTAACCTAAATTAGTTTAGATTTATTAAATTTAATTTAATATAATGTAATTTAATATAATTTAATTTTATTTTATTTTGTTTCATTTGGTTTTATGTAATTTTATTTTATACAATTTTTTTATATTTTTTTTTTTTTTTTTTTTTTTTTTTTTTTTTTTTTTGTTTTATTATAATAAATATGAATAAATAATAAATATTTTTTCGAGTAGAAAAATTGTTGGTAACGTACAAATTATTCATTCGATTTTCAATACTTGCAACTACATTTCCCTTATTTAGTTGATCATTGTTTATGACGAATGCCGCCAATGATACGATATCAAGCATATTTTAAAGAAAAGGCGAGATGATGTAAAATGAGAACACATCTGTCAACACCTGCTTTCTTTATATTACAATTAAGAAGTTGTGAAAAATGTTTCGGTGATAAATGTGTGGCAGCTATTAGCACATCGACTGGCCATTGGGAGAGCGTTGTGGTCTTTCTCGTTTTTCACCAATATCGTGCCGTCGCCAAGGCCAAAAAAACAATCACTTTATGCCCTTACTTAATCATTTTCCATTTCCGTATCATTGTCGCTGTCACTATTGTTTTCAAGCTCATTTGCTTCGATTGTCACTTCGTTTTCTATATCAGATAAATGAATGTTCACATGTTCATTGCTAAGATAATATGAAACATGATTTGACCAGAAAATTCCTGAGAAAAGTAAATAAAAAGATATACTTCGTAAATTAAGGTCTAGCTAGATCACTCCGAACATTTAACATATAAAAAGTTTATATCCTTATAATTATCTTTGTGTCAACTTTTTCGTCCTAACCTTATCGCAAATAGACAGCTATTGAAATTTTAGGAAAAGTAGAGAATTTTTCAGGCTATAGCTCTTCAAGAAGTATATCAACATTGTAAATAATATTACTAAAATGTTGCTCACCAAATTTTACTAAAGATGTTGAAAAAAAAATTATTGTTGCTAGTAAATTTTCCAAAAAATAATTTGCCTAAACATTGTTGAAATTTTTTAATTTATTATGCAAAAAAATTTACAAAGAATGTTGCCGAAAAATGTTGCTAAAAATTAGTACAAAAAAATTTTGCATAAAGATAGTGCTAATAAATGTAGCAAAAAGATAGTACTAAAAAAATTAGCACTAAAAAATGTTGCTAAAAATTAGTACTAAAAATGTCGCTAAATTAGTACTAAAAAATTTTGCTGAAAAATTGTACTAAAAAATGTTGCAAAAAATTAGTACTAAAAATTTTACAAAAATAAGTACTAAAAAGTTGCTAAAACATTTTCCAACAATTTTTTCTTAAAATGCTGCTTAAATATTATATTTTAAGAAGCTTTCTTAAAAATTTCTTTCTTTTCATTTTACCTACAAATATGCAAAAAAAAGTTACTTAAAAAATCTACTAAAATATTGATAAAAAAAAATTTGCTGAATGAATTATGTTTAAATTATGCTAAATAATGTTAAAAAAAAACACTAAAAAATGTTGCCAAAAAAAATTACTAAAAAATTTTACCAAATTTTGCCAAAAATTGTTACTAGCAATTTTCATCAGTGGGTAAGTTTTCATAAAGAAAGAGCATTATAGATGTGAAACCTTGCTTGATGCCCCCGTTTTTAAAACGCTGTACTCTGACCGTTGACTTCTTGAAAATTAGCTGCACTATTGACCTGAGACGAATTTAAAAATAACACTGAAATAGATTTGATGGTGAGGACATTTTTAGAAAGGCGACCAATGAGCCACCAATATCTGTAGATTTTAGAATAATAGCTGAGTTAACTCAGTTTTCAACCGAATAAATCTCCATCGTCATTTGAGCCAAAATGATAAATATTTGATTAAATAATTTGAAAGCTTTCACTATAAATCAAAGTTTTTTTTGATAAAGACTTCTTATTCCGCAAAATAAATTTTCTTTCCTGTAGGTTAATATAATATTAGTCTCAGCTTTTTTAGAGAAAATAATCACTGGTCCAGAAGGTGGAAACACTATTCAAAATATGTTTTTTTTTGTTATTTTTTTTTTAATAATAACTGAATAAGTGTTGAAGGAATGTGCATTTTAAATATACAGTTTGCGTTTTGTAAATATAATTCAAATATATATACTAATAATTAAATAAAAAAAAAAATAAGTTTGTGTATGTATGCTATGGTGACTGGCGTGTCGGAATAATTTTTAATTCTCATTTTCAACGAGCTGAAATCTTGATTCATTATAATTAAAATTAAAAATTTTAGTTTTCTTTAAAAATTCATTTTCAATATAAAAAAACTTACAATTTGTTTCACCTGCGTCGCCGACGATTAGAAAAT